CTGAAGGTTGCCTGAATAATAGCAGCAGCCCTGTGCATCTCTGCAATCTTTTTTCTCACATGAGCTCCTCTGAACGCTGCCTGAACAACTACAGCAGAATGTCTCATTTTAAGGAAGTTCTCCCTGTGCTTCCTTTGGAGAAGAACAGCCCTGTAGCGTCTCTGGATGATGATGGCAGAGAGCCGCATTGCCTGAAATTTGACTCGTTCTCTGTGCTGTCTGAACGCAGATTGGATCACAGTTGCAGCCTGATGCCAGTGGGAAACTTCCTTCCTTGCCTTATGTCCTCTGAATGCTGCCTGCAGGACTATAGCAGACCGTCTCGTTCTCAGGTAGCTTTCTCTGTCTCTTCTCTGGACAAGAAGAGCTCGATAGTGTTTCTGAATGAGGATGGCAGAGAGCCGCATTGCCTGAAATTTAACTTGCTCTCTGTGCTTTCTGAATGCAGTCTGGATCAAGGTTGCAGCCTGATGCTGATGTGCAATCTCTTCTCTAACTCGCTTCCCTCTGAATGCTGCTTGAAGAATGGTTGCAGCCATCCTTATTTGTTGGTATTGCTTTCTTTGCTGCTTAGCTGCAACATTTGCCCGATATCTGTGCTGGACTTTGATGGTGTATGCTTTTAAGGACAGGTAGCGCTTACGTTGACGGTAGGACCTATAAGCTCTTTGGATGACTCTGACAGACTGATGTCTTTTTTTTAGTGTCTGCCTTGTTTTCATCCCTCGGAAGGCAGCCTGTAAGACAACAGTGGCTCTCTTTTTAGCTTTCAGTTGTTGCACCTCTGCTCTCATTATTTTATTCGCTCTAAAACGTTCTTGTAATATTTTACAAGCCCAGATTAGACTTTTGAAGCGACTTCTCTGCTGGTATTTTCTAAAGTGTGACTGAATAGTCACAGCTGCCATATGCCTAATATACAGCTGCTTTCTTACAGCGTACCCTCTGTAGGCGGCCTGCAGATGAACAGCTGCCCTGCGCTTTGACTGGTAGTCCAGATGGAGTTGTCTTGCCAGGATTGCTGCTCTGTACCTCTGCTGACATATCAGAGTGGCTGCCTTGATAGCTAGGAACTGCTTTCTGTCCTTAGTGGCCAAAAACTTTCTCTGAATAATCCTAGCCGCTTGATGACACTCCGCAATTTTCTTTCTGACACTGTACCCTCGGTATGCTGACTGAATGACCACAGCTGCACGTCTCATTGTTTGGAACTGCTTCATCTGCATATCTTTAAGCATTTTAGCTCTGTAGCGATCCTGAAGAATAACGGCGGCGCATTTCATGGCCAGGTATGCCACTCGAATTCTGTGCATCCTAAACTGAGCTTGGATTGCTGTTGCGGCTGTATGCCTCTTCTTTAGATCCTTCTTCACCATGAACCCCCTAAAGGCAGCTTGTATTGTTAAACTGGCCCGTTTCAGCTTCCTGAACTCAGCCTGCTGGGCTCTACAGAGGAGGACAGCTCTGTATCTGCACTGGATTAAAATGACTGCATGTTGCAGAAGAATGTATCGTTTCCTGCATAAGAACATTTTAACCACAGACTGAATGACAGTTGCAGCCTGGTGCTTTTTCCTTTGCTCTGCCCTAACTCTCATGCCTCTGAATGCAGCTTGGAGTGCAATGCACGCCGTTTTCTTCTGTAGATATTCATTCCTCATCTTGTTTCTCACCAAAAAAGCCTTAAAATGATGTTGTATGACCACAGCTGCTGCCCTTACAGATCTATACCGCATTTGCCCTTTATGTCGACGATAGTGAGCTTGTATCAGAGTTGCACAGTAATGTAATGTTTTTATCCGGTTCCTTTCAGCTCTGCCTCTCCAGGTAGCTTGGATAAGGATTGTGGCACTCTTCATAGCTTTATATTCCTTCTGTGCCTTGCAGGCTAATACTTTAGCTCTGTATTTCTGTTGTATCACAGCTGCAGTTTCTCTCAAGAGAAGATACTTCTTCTGGGCAGCATATTTCCTATACGCCGCTTGGATCTGTGTTGCTGCCTTGTGCTTCTTTTTCAGCAGTTCTCGAGCCACTTTTCCACGGTAGGCTGCCTGTATGGAAATAGCTGCTCGTTTCATCCTTACAAACTTTTCCCTTTCCAAGTCTCTTATCACAGAGGCCCGAAACCTCTGCTGGATCATCACTGCTGCGGATCTCATATTCACAAACAGTTTTCTGTCAACATGTCCCCTGAAGGCAGTCTGGATGACCGTAGCAGAGCGGTGCTGCAGCTTTAACATCTTAAAGTCCTGCCTCTGTGCCTTTCCTCTGAGATGAGCTTGGAGAAGCACAGTGCTTCTCCTGATCCTCTTGTACCGATGGGACCACAACTGCATTCTGTACCAAGACTGAATCTTTACAGCAGCAGCAGTTCGTTGAGCCATTTTATCTTTGTACCATCTTCTAAAAGCAGCTTGGATCACTTCGGCTGCATGGTTTTCCTTCTGGGTTTTATGATCTTTCCACCTTCTGTACGATCTCTGAAGCTTCACTGTAGCTTCCCGAATGAGGAGATATTGCTCTCGATCTTTTTTTAAGAGGAACCAAGTTCGAGCGTACTTCTGAAGGACTACAGTCGCCCAGCAGATCTTTGCATAAGTGGTAGCTGCTCTTTTCATTCGCCATTGGGCTTGAACTACAATGGTGTAATACCGGAGGCGCTGATAAGCCCTCAAGGTGAAAAATGCCTTCCAGTGAGCCTGAAAAGACAAAAAAGGAAATGTTTGTTGAATAAATTACATGCAGTAAGGTAACTACTCTGCACATAAACCATAGTTTAATACTAATATCCAAAACTGACATTTTTCACAACTTTAAACCCAATTGTATATGCTTCGATGCATTTTACTGATTTACATTGATTTACACACACTTATTCATAGTTTACACGGTTTTTAAGAGTTTTGAGTTATTTACTTAAGGCTTAGCTAAACTTTGAGCCTCTTGATGAGCTAAGCCAAAGGTGACCCTGCAGAATGTCACAGAATACAAATTCCTTCCAATTTCTCATCAACAGTGGAGGATGAAGTACTCAACTTGAATAAAAGTAGAATTCCATACTCAAATCTTACTTAACTACAAGTAAAAGTTAATCAGTCAAGAATCTAATCAAGTTAAAGTATTGAAGTACTCACTTTTGAAAACACTTCAAATTAAGTAATCAAAAGTACATGCATTTAATTGTTAAAAAATACAAATTAACTTTTCTAATATCAGTGCATTTATGTTTAATTTTCAGTCATTTTAAAGAACCTTGTAACTTTCAGAAACCACATCACCCCAGAGCACATCAGTCCTTACACTGACTCCCTGTATCTCAGAGAATAGACTTTAAAAAACTTCTGTTAGTCTATAAATCTCAGAATGGCTTAGCACCTAAATACATCACAGACTTGCTATCAGTGTATCAACCCTCCAGACCACTCAGGTCTTCTGGCTCCAGCCTGCTCCACATACCTAGAACCAGAACTAAACTTGGAGAAGCAGCATTTAGTTTCTATGCTCCACTTATCTGGAACAAACTTCCAGAAAACTGTAAAAGTGCGGAAAGCCTGAGTTCCTTTAAATCAAGACTAAAAACACATTTGTTTAGGATTGCCTTCGACTGTTCTATTTAAACAGTTCAACTGAAACATCATTAGTTCAACTTTTTCATTTTCTTTAGTCAAACTGTTTTTAATGTTCTGTTTTGTTTCTGCATTTTTTATTTTATTCTATTTTATTTTTTTTTTTCCTACTTGCTTTGATTCCGTTTTATTTTCCTATTTAATCATGTAAAGCACTTTGCATTGTCTTTGTACTAAATTGTGCTATACAAATAAATTTGCCTTGCCTTACCTGATGAATTGACGCTTGGAACCACACCAACAAAACTACACCAATTAGAACTTTAGCGTAAAAATGCCAGAAAAAATAAGGACAAATATTTTGATTATATTTTTTATTTAAAAACAAACGAGTCTTGATTCTCCACACACTTTCACTATGGAATAGATGTTTAAGCTTTAATCTGTTATCACAAAAGAACTACAACTCTGCTTTGAAAACTCATCCTACTGAATGACTTGGCCACATGGCAACAGCTAATGCCTTAATAAAGTTTTTGATATGCAAATAACATCTGCCCTGAGTTTTTCCACATTTTTGGAATGTCATGTAAATCTCTTAAACAGTGGTGTCTGAATTCAGTCCCAATGGCTGCTATCTGCCATGTTGAAATTGCATTTTTTTTTTAAAAACAGCAACAGTGGATTACAAAGCTAAGCTAAGCAAAAAATAACAAGTAATTATCACCTTCCTCAAAATGCAGTGGAGTAGAAAATATAATATTTGATTTTGAAATGTAGTGGAGTGAAAGTGATAAGTACACCCCAAGACATTACTCAAGTAAAGATATTTAAAACAAAAAAAGTACTTAACTACAGTAATCAAGTAAATGTACTTTTTTACTTTCCACCACTGCTTGTCAACCATTTAGAACTTTCCTTCCAAATGTCCGTATGTTAAAATGCATCCTACAATATTGTCAATGTAATGTTATGGCACTGTTTTTGCTATAGCAACTTGGTCATTTTTGCCCTTATTTACTGTAATTTGTGTCTTTTTAGGTTGAGATTTACTCTGTCTTCACAGACCTTCTTCAGCACCTACCTGGATGACAGACGCTGCTTTATGCTGCAAATCCCGAAGCTGAGCCTCCTTTTGCTTTCTCAGCCAGTTCTGAGCCAAGTGTCTTCTCCAGGCTGACTGAATGACGATGGCAGCTTCATTCTGGCGCTTAACTCTACGTTTCATCAGGAAACGTCTCACCACAACCTGGATTTTCAGGGCTGCCTTGTTTCTCGCCTAAATTGAAACATGAGGGGAAAGGACATTCAGGAACATATGAACCTCAATATACTTCTTAATCAAGCATATTGAAGTTTCACCTGAAAGTTTCAATTGTTTCCATTAACTTGAAAGTTTGCTTGTCCAGAGCCCATTGTTGCAGGACTTTACTGTAATCTTTGTGTGAAAAAGTTCTTACTGCTACTATCATGCATGAATCTGCCTGCTATAGCTGCATCTGTGCCTTCTGTGTGGTGGCAAAACAAATTTAAGGGAATTATCGCCAAATGTACTTCATTTATTTTACTCTTGTTAAATGTAACGCAACTAAAATTGAGTGCCTCTATTCTTTGAAAGCTGCTTTGCTAAATTGCAATTATATTGCAAATGCAATGAACTGCCCAAACCTAATTTGGAACCATAGTTAGGATGCAGAATTGTTGGCTGTCATTTCTTTAACAATCAGTTTATTCTTTACTTTGACCTCAGCAATATTATTTTTGTTTTATAAGTAGAGATGCACAGATCTGAAACCTGAATCGAATATTGGCTCAGATATGACTAATTGGCAGAGTCAGACATCGATGATTTTATATCAGAGAGCCAAACCAGGGAACTTTGCATCATTTTCTTTTTCTGCTTATTTGTTAATAAGTAATATAAAGTACATTAATATCCGTTTTCATCTTTAAGCTTTTCTTAACTATGGTTACATCAACACTAAATCCTTCATTCACACGGTACAAGGTTCATTAAGTCGGATCTGTATTGGATGTCGGCTGATGGGCTCAGCTCATCTGATTGGACCAAGAAAAAAAAAAATGGATCGGTGCATCTATATTTATAGGGAAACCCAACTATAGTTCATTAATTCAATAAAGAAAATAGGGGGGAATTGATAAACAGAAATATCATATCAGCAACTTTAGCAACTAAAGACATTAAGCCTCTTTAAAATGCAGATATTATTGTAAAGATCATTTACTTTTACATCCCATAATTTAAAGAGAGAAATATAACATTCCGAACCTCATAGAGCAGCAGATCTTTCTTCAGTTTGTGTTTCCTCCATGCAGCCTGTATGAGCCGCGCTGCTCTGGTCTCAGTCCGAAGGTCCAAGAGGCGAGCGCAGAGAAACGACAGGTATGACATCACAACCTGGAAAGGGATCAGAGGGTTTGATTGGCAGTTTTTAACAAAAATATAGGCTTTTTAAAGATCTAATTAAATGCTTATTTACAACGTTTGACTAACTCTGATCAGCAGCATTTAACAACACCATGGCTTTTTAGGCCTACAACTTCTCCTGACACACCATTGAGGATGATTTAAACATCCCATAGCAATACTTCAATATCACTGGAAGACTTCAAACTTTGCGAGTTCCTAGACCATTGTTTGCAAGTGGGACCCTGAAGAAAACCTCTGAGCTTTTGAAAATTTTATTTTTTACTCTTATGAAGGATTCAACCCATTATAAAACCAATTAAGATGGTGATGAGGTTTTCTGACCAAATCTGTCAACCTCTTCTGTGTGGACTTCCAAAGAGACATGGAGATGAAGTCAGGAGCAAATGAAAATATCCTAAAGTAAATATGAATTGAAATGGATTGGATAAGGCATGAAAATCAAGGAGGGGAGATGACAGAGTAAAAACAAAAAAAAAAGTTTGCTCAGCTCCAGACGTTTGCAGAAGCCTTTTGTTCTGGTCTCACCTTCTCGCTGGGGATGGTGTTGGACATGTCAGCGGGGTTGATCATGGCTGGTACGCCACCCAGGAAAGCCACTGCTGAGTTGACGAGTTTAAAGTTGTTCTTTTCATTTTCCAGAAGCTCTTTAAACTTCAGAGATGCAGAATCCTGTCCTGTTTAGATAAAACCTTACTTTGTCAAAACACAAGCCCATTTATAATAATAACTAAAAAAAAAAAAAAAAAAAAAAAACGAAATAGATAAACATGATCGCTGTTTTTTCCTAATAAAGTCAAACAAACATAAGAAGCATTAATAAAATAAAATGTTAGTCTAAAGAATCAAAAATAAATGAAATTTCTGCACACAACAGATCTGTACCCTGCAGGTCTGCTGGTCCAAAATCAAAGGAGCCGTCTGAGTCGCTAACTGAGCTGTTCAGCTCCAGCCGGCCCCTCGGAGAACACTCCACGGTCTGTGTGGTGCTGTGGCTGATGGATGCTTCCGGTAGGACACCGGGGTGGTAGTGGTGAAGAAGGAAGCAGAGGATGCGGCCATCAGAGAACGACACAGTGAAGTTCTCCACCTGCATACGCACAAAAATTACACTGCTTATTTACTTCCCACATGATTACACATTACCATGAATAATTCTAGCTGGCTGCCAAATCCGGTGTGAAGGCCTGAAGATGCTAGTTGTGTACGACTTATTAATTCTCAGATAAAATCTTTTGCATGTCAAAGCGGGGTGGACATATCTGCGCAGATCTTCTTTTCACTTCTGTCTCTGTGCCACAAAAATTAAAACTATTTTCCACATTTGACAGATTATGAAATCTTTACCCCATAGATGCATTCTATGGAATAAAGCCCCACTTAAAGAGCCTGTGCATCATCTCAAGCCAGAACAGATAGAGAATATTTATATGCCTATATTAAAAACATAATTAGATCTAGGCCTAAAGAAAACAAAAACACAGCAATAAACACCATGGAGCAGTTTATATGCTGAATGAAGCAGAGAGTCGATTCTCAGAGAGAGATCTGGGAAGTCTTTCTCTCTTTTTTTTCATAAAGAGGAGAGAGAGATACGCCACGCTTACCTGCTCTGTTTGCCCATCGTTATTTTGTTTTTTTTGTGAGGCTCAAAGAGGATCATTACTTTATCTGTTTTCTGTCCTCCTGAATTCCTATCATGGGTAAAGTAGCCTATTCTTTTTTTATTGTTTCATTCATTGTTTTTGAACAAGTCTGACCTACTTGCCGTGTATGCTCTGTGCGACTTCGAACTAACTGTTTCCCGGTGCAATTAACAGATTTTTTGTATTTTCTCCCAATGCTGATGTGTTTTACTTTGTAACTGCATCTGTCTTCCTGTAAGAACCATGAAATTGCTGCTGAATTGCTGTGTAGCCCTCTTGCTTAAAATTGTGTGATCATTTCCACTTTCAAAGTGCACTAAACACCACGACATCTTCCGACAAAATTTTCTGTCAGATCGGACACAAAATCGGATTCGGTGTGTGTTCTGGCCTTGAGGTTGCTACTTAAATACTCTGGTTCCAAAATATCCGTTTCATACCAGCAGACAGGAGGGCTTGATGTCATCAAAATGACTAAAAACTGAACATTTTTCAATCTCAGAGGTGCAAGAATAATTATGATTACTTCACCTGTGATTCCTCGTACAATCAAACAAGAGTTAAGTTGAATCTTCATGTCTGTTTTTCTTTTATTCATTTAAATTTAAGAGAACCATAAGAAAACTAATTTTACCTTTAGGTGGTAGAACTCACACACGGCGCAGACCCAGTCCATCAGCAGAGTAATCTTTCTGCTCGTATGTTTGTACGGCACCCTGGCCTTCACTGGACTCGGCTGGCAGCCCTTGTCGGCCCTCAAAAGAGCCAGTCTACGCTTGGTCCTCAGAGTTTTCTTCAGGAATTCGATCTCCTCCCTGAGCTGATCCTCATCTAGGATAACCTCCACCTTTATTCATCCGATAGTAGAAACATAATGAAATATTGGTCAAAAAGAACCACTATGAAAAGAGGTTGTTAGAATCAAAAGAAGATACACACTTGAAACACAAAGATGATTTTCCACAGGAGACTCAGGGTTTTTTCTCTGTGCCCATCCACAATGTCTCTTGAGTCAATGATGGACCCTAAGAACAAAGATAACAAATGAAGATTTGTCTAAATTCCATTTTTAGCCACTTATTAAACGTAAGTAAATGTTTAAATGAGAAAAGGAGGCCTTTTGTTACCACTTTCATCCTTGAGGTCAATCCCTTTGCCTTTGAGCACTTGCAAAGCTATGTCCACATTGTGCACTTTCTGAAGGCGGCTGATGGCAGGCAGGCGGAGCTTTGCGGACAAACTCCAGTCCTGAGCGAGCAGCTCCATCACACGCCTGGAAGAAACATCACACAGAAAGAAAAAATAAGAAAAAGAAAAAAGAGCCTCTGCAAAATTTCCACTGCAGATTTACTGTAAGAAAATACAAATCCTGCCATTGCAGGGACCGCCTGCCATCAGAAATAAGAGCAGATCTCCCAACCAGCATCAGAGCAACCAGTCCAATTCAGGAAGTCTCACTTACACTAAACGGACGCCGCATTTCAAGTCAACTGCCAAATTTTTCACAGCAAAGTTGAACTCGTTGAGGGGCGTCTGCACGTGGGACACGGGTAGCCCGAGGTAGGCGAGGTGCCGAGGAAGAATCCCCTCTCCACTCAGGAAGTCTCTTGAGAAGGCCAGCAGCAGGTCTTTACTCGCCTGTAAGCCGAACAAGAGAAGCTCAGGCTTAGGATGACTTAAACTCAAATTAACTCAAATGGAAACCTAGTCAAAGTGTGAAATATGACCATTTTTGCAGAATCTCTGTATTTTTGGTTGGTTATTTAAATGTGTGCATATCAGTAGATGTGTATATCCCTCAAACATTGCATTAAAGTAAGTATGGCTTTTAAATTAACACATTTCTGTTTGTTTGGACAGAAAACTGCACATGATTCTTAAGAATATTTTATCTACAGGTCTCAATTTGACCTTTGTGTTTTATACCAGTATTTATTTACATATGGTAACTAAGAACCGGGACCCCATCCCACCTTAAATTCTGCATCGATGCAGAACAGACAAGGATCGTGTTCGATCAGACGAGATTCCTTGGCTTTGTCTAAGAAACACACAAGCAGGAGCAGCTTCTTCAGTGTGAAGCGGGACAGCGCCTCCTCATGGCCTAAATGGAAAAGAACAGTGTTTACATTATGATTGCAGGATGGTAACTATCACGGATTGCTGTTCATGACATAAGAACAAGCAAATGTCCCTAATTTTGCTTAAGCCTCTAACAAATATCATTTATTACCATCTTTGTATAGGTGGGGCACCCGGGCGTGTCTGAACTCTGCAGCAATGTCTGGGTTCCAGAGCAGCCGCTGGAGTATGAACGTAGCCAGGCCCAAGATGTCGCTGTTGCTTTCAAGAGCAATCATCTCCCCAAAAATAGTCTAAGGAGGAAAAACACAGGTTAAAAAAAGCCTCAGTGTTTTGATTCTAAGAACACACAACGTAAAGGTCAAATTCAGCTACCTCCAGCCCGATCCTTAACCACAGAGGATTGTATGATAGCAGCCAGTTCAGGACCTTTTTACGCTCACCTGGTTAAAAAAAAAAACAAACATGCATCAGATAAAAAATATTTCACATTAAGGAATTTCTGGCTGTTGTTAATGTCAGAAATCATACCTATGTCTTTCCAGAGGTGGCGGTCTTTGCGGATTAATAGCCGCCGGGCCTCCACCTCCAGCTCCAGCCTCTGAATGGCTTTGACCATGGAATCAGAAGTGAAGAGCTGGCAGGCAGAGCGACGGAGGCGGTTGAGCTTCCGCTTAGCTGTGTAGGTGCTAAAAGACATCTCCTCCTTGGTGGGGGCTTTCGGCACACGGAATTTATCCTCGCTGCCGAAGGCGAGTGAGACGGCGCTTGCTGCCAAAGAAAATTAGAACATTAAATTAAAAAAATAAAAACTTATGAGCCATCTGCAACCTGAAAATCATTTAAAGTGTTTTAGTGCAGCTCTACCTTCAGGTACTTCAGTGATGACCTTGAAGTCATCGGGGGTGAGGACGTAGTTCAGCCAACAGGTGAACCCTTTCTCCTGCTTGTCTATCCACCTTTCATCATAGAACATGTTTTTTGCAGCGAACGGCATCGGGTGCCTTGGTAAAGCTAAAAACAAAAGAAGCAGACACAGAATACAGATTAAAATCTCCAGAATGAAACAGAAATAAATGTGATTATCTGAGGCCTACCAGTTTGTACAGGTTTGATGAAGGTTAGCTTTGCCTGAGCAACAGCAGCTACTTTTGAGATCCTCACAGAATGTGAACCTGAGGCTTTTAGAGAGCCTGAAAGGGAACAAGACAAAGAGCATAACCTCTGTAAACTGGAACAAGGAAAACAAATCTGAATATTACATTTTGTTCTCCCCCAAAGCGATATTGGCCAAACCGATGGAGCTTTTTACTTTGTGAGCTGACTCTGGAGCTTGGACGTTTAGCCTGGGCACCAGCAGTAGACCTTCCCATCCTCAGAGATTTAGTCGTCACAGTTTGGGCTGAGCCTAAAAACAAGTCTAATTTAGTTTTTTTAAACGGGGCGATGTGTTCTAGACAGTTTCTAAAATGCATGTTAGCCTTTGTCTGATGAATTTACTCACTTGTCACAACTCTCTGCTGCTGAGATGTGTCTCTTTTGCTGCGTACTGAAGGTGGGGGATCAACCTTCCCAACCCTGTTCCTCTTTACCTGCTCCTTCCCAGAGTCTTCGGTCTTTGAATGAGTTTTCAAGTACTCCTCACTCTTCCTCTTCTTGCCTTTCAGTGCCAGCTGAACAGGAAACAAATCTTCCTGAACAGAAACGGCCATGGACACACTGGACAGAGGTGGCGATGAGCTCCATGAGGTGATGGTGGGTGTTGTTGGAGCGGGGATCGCAAGAGGCGATGAGGTGGCCGAGAACGAAATGGGAGAAGGCGCGGTGTCTGGTAGGGTGGATGTCGGAAAGGTTTTGGTTAAAGGGGAGATGGGAAGCCTTGAATTGGGGCTGGAGGAAGTGAACTCTGGGATTTGATGTTTAGCATCACTCGGTGTAGTTTTTGTCTCTGTATCTATGACTGGCAGGCTCGGAGTTCCCGGACCCGAGTCACTCTGGCTGCCGCCATCAGAGAGTTCAAGCGTTTTCTCCAGAAGTCGGCGACGAGACTTCTTTATTTTCCTCCCCCCTGGACTGCCGACCTCCACAGATGCTTTGGTTTTAGTCACAGTGGCAGATGTGAATGAAATCTTTGCCTTTTCTGTTACTTTTTCCTCCTTTAAAACCACTTTTTTGCTGACGAAAAACGTGAGCCTTGGCTCATGAGATTGGGGCAGCTCCGGGCTAGCCAACATCGCTTCAGCACCGCAGGCACCATTCCCACTCTTAGACTCCAAAGAATCAGAAAACTCACAGCTAGAACTGGTATTTCTTGGACTACTGTCAATATGTGAGAGATCAGAGCCTATCAGAGCCAGGGCGTCGTTTAGAGATGGAAGATTGGGTTCAGGTGCCACACCACCAACATGAGCAGAACTCTGTGGGCTTCCCGAATCGATGCGAGGCATCAGCTTTTTCAGCACCTCAGGTGTACCGATCGGAGACAGAGTCCTGTTAAACACCTTAGAGAGTTCCTTGTTTTTAGGATTTTCCGCCATGCTATTAGCGTTAGTAGACAGGCTGCCAGAGTGGACGAGCTTTGCGGACGGGACAAGCAGGACAACAGGGGAGTTCTTCTGATCTGACAGGACAACATCTCCATGGGCCGGTTTTGATGCCTTCTGCTCGGCTGAATTTAAGCAGCGATGGTGAAAGGGTCTGTCCTTAATAAGGATTCTCTCTTTAACAGTTTGTGTCTCAGAGAGCGAAGCCAGTGGGCTGCGGGGCTTTTCCCGCTTATACTGAGGCTGCCGGGATACTTGGAAGGTTTTGTTTGGTGCCATCTTCCCAGGACATGTCATTCTCATAGACGTTTGGGGTTTTTCCATCCCCTTATTTTTGATTGAATCCCATAAGCTCTTCTGTAAAAAAAAATATAAAAAAAGTTATGAAGCTGTGTAGTTATACTAATATGTTAAGGAAAAGGTTTGACAATTTAGGATGTTAAGTCACTGTCGTCTACCAGTTAAACTTCCCAATCTGGCTATTTTCATTTTGCTCTTTGACATCATACCAAAATAAAATAAAATAAAAAAGCTTTTAATTTCATTTTCAGATTTTAAAAAAATTAAGCACATTAAATCGTATGTGTCATGTAAGCTTATAAATGACACCTGATGAAGGTCTTTAGCAAAAAAAACAAAAACAAAAACGAAATAGCTGTAGGCTCTGGCATCAAATGAAGAAATGACAAGCTGGACATAAAAACAGTGACAGTACCCACAGCTGGTCAAAGATAATTGCAACTCATTATTGCAGCTCTGGTTATTGGAACATACTGTGAAAGATCAACTGTGATAATCCTGGTGCTGTTGGATCTAAAACTTTAACTCATTCAATCTTTCATATATAGAAAACTAATAAAACAAAGTGTTATGAGCTTCATTTGTTTCATTCTTACATAACATTTAGCCAACTGGGCAACTCCTCCCTGCAGGACGTACCCACAGAAGAAAAATAATTAAAAAATTAAAAATTGTTTCAAGTATTTTGAGAGGGAGAGGAAAGAAGAAAACTGGCATATACTGTAATGGTTTTTAATATAAATTCCAAATATTTCTACAAATTTACATTAGGACTTAAAGGAAGACAAAGGGATCTCCATTCCTGAGGGTTGAATTATTACCAACCAGCCTGAAGTTATTAATCGGGTTGTTTGCTGATTGCATTACCAGCTGTGCCCTCTACTCAAAAACAGCTTATATTCTAGTATCACTCTACAATCAGCCAGACCAAAGCAGAAAACCATTTGTTAAATTAAGCTAAGTTTGTTATATTAAAGCACAGATTTTAATTAGGGCTGCAACTAACACTTATTTTGCAAATAGATTAATCTGTCGATTTTTTTTTAAGATGAATTGATTAATAATCGGATAGCAAAAAGTTCCTTAAAGAAAGATTATTACGAAATTAAACCAGATGAAACTAAAACTTCACCACTTTAGAGCATATTGACAGATTTTCTTTTTTTAATATCTTAAATGCAAAATGTTTGAACATTTTTTAAATTTTCATATAATTACTTCTCTAAGTGAGGTGCTCTGACAGCTAAATGCATTTTTTTAAGTCTCTATACTCCAATTAATGAATAATCGATTAGTAAATTAGTTTAAGATTATTTAAATAATCGGTTAATCAAGATTATGAGATTAATTGCCCTAATTTTAATACAAGTTTAGGAATAAATAACCCTATAATAACGGTTATAAATGCTCTGTTGGTGTTTAATCTATTTCTTAAAATAGTCTTTATATATATATATATATATATATATATATATATATATAAAGACTATTTTAAGAATATATATATATATATATATATATATATATATATACACACACACACACAAATAAATATAAATAATACATGTTGGAAATAATAGTGGAATAATAACCTTATGAGTCAGTTATATTCAGCTTCAGTGTGGAAGTACCTTTTTCTTTTTGGGGGCCTCTGCTCTTCCCAGTAAGACAGCCTGGTGTTTAAGGACCCCATTGGCATTGAATGTGAGGAGCTCCCTGACCCCACCTTCCTCTGCTGGAGTCCAACTTATTGTCAAACTGAATGAGCTCTCAGGCTGCAAACAAACACAAAAAAAAAGGAATATCTCTTCAATAACAGACAGGAACATTAGATAGGCATCTTGATGACTTTACATTTTTAACCAGAAAGTCTCCGTTTGAAAATAATTGTTCTGAACAGTCTGCTCTGAATAACAGTTCATCATACCTGGATCGTGAACGTGTCATGGTCCACAGAAAAGCCTTTACTGGAGGGGATCTTTTCCACGACAACCTCCGCTTCGGCATAGTCAGTCGGGTTAACAATTTGTAAAACAGCCGATTTCGATGTGCCCACCTTAACAGTGCCAAAAGTAACAAAAGGTGGCTTTGAAAACTGAATGAGACTCAGAACCGGAATCTCATTTTCCTTGTTAGGGTCCTCTCTCCTCGCCGGACTGATGTTCTGAAATCCCCGCTTTGCTGAGGTTATCAATTCAGCCATATTTTTGAAGGATAAAAAAAATTATTGCTACATGATACGTGGTCCAAAGCAATTCAATTTAGAAAAATATTATCAGAGTCTTGAAACACGACAGCTAACAACAAACGTTATCTCAAATCCAAAGAAAGCGTGATTTTAAATTTTCTACAAAACAACCAGCCAATGAGTAGCAAGCAGCTTTTGAGAAACGTCCAATGGGTGAGCGTTTCTCTCACAAGGACACGCAACGAAGAACCAATCAGTGTTACAATTTATCTTTAAACAACCGTAGGCCACGCCTACATTTAGAGATCAGCTTTAGCGAGAGGTGCCACTCGTATTTCTTTTTTCTTTTTGAGAGTAACACAGGTGAAATGATTACTGTAGTATTTGGTTTAGTAACATTTCAGCCCATGAGGCTGCAACTCTTTGAACTTATCATGTGTATGAAATTTCTTTTTTTTATGGAGAGCACAGTGACAAAAGTAATCTCGTAAATTCTTACTGCGTGAAATATGTTTGTTTTCACAATCTTTGTCTAAATCTAAACGTAGCCTTTTCTCAAAAACAGGCAATAAAGGAGTATGAAATACACCACACAAAAAAGGATGTGTTGACTATCGATCTGATGTGGTCCTCTGTATATGCCAAACGAATCATCCAAGTGGTTAGCTCGCCGTGATCGTATAGTGGTTAGTACTCTGCGTTGTGGCCGCAGCAACCCCGGTTCGAATCCGGGTCACGGCATTAATCACTAGAGGCAATTGATTTTACACATGAATTTGAAACACACTATATTATATTCATGCACCCTATCACTTAGACACATACAAACTGTATTGCCAGCTGTTTACCGGAATTTTGGTATAGAAAACAAACATTAAAAGCACCAAAAAAAAAAAAAAAAAAA